AAATTACAAAGCGATCTTATCAATACGCTAGAATAGATGGAGAAAAACAGGTTAACAATCAATCTTAAAAAAACACAGTGCATGTTAATTGGTACGGAACAAAGATTAAGAAACTGTAGGAATTTATGTATTAAAGTGGGTAGTATTGTGATTGAAAATGTATCTTGTGCGAAACTACTTGGTGTTTACATCGATAGATGTCTTACATGGTCTGAACACGTTGAAAATTTAACGAAAAAACTAGCTTCCAAAATAGGTGTTTTGTCTAGATTAAGATCATTCATGTCCTCTGAGTTATTGTTAAAATTTTTTAATACAATTGTTTTTCACCATTTTAATTATTGTTGTACTGTTTGGGGCAATATGAAAAACAAAGAAGGACTTATCAAACTACGTAAAATCCAAAAGCGAGCTGCTAGAGTGATTTTAAATACTACATTTTATACATCTACATCGGAAATGTTTCAACGACTGAGATGGATGCCAATTGATGATTATTTTACATATAGAACTGTCATCCTTGTTTTTAAAGTTTTAAATGGATTAACTCCAGATTATTTAGATGTTTTTAAATTTGTACATGAAATAAACAACAGATCTACAAGATTGAGTCAAAGCAATTCATTGTATATTCCGAGGGCAAAAACAGAATATTATAGAAGATCTTTTACAATTTACGGTTCCCAGCTATGGAATAAATTGCCAGAATTTTTAAAGAATTGTCCATCATTGCAAAGTTTTAAATCAGCATATATAAGAAATTATTTCCAGTCTACAAACTAAAATGTTAATCACATAGATCATACTTCTGTTGTTTATAGACGCAGCTTTGACAAACCATCTGTAAATATTGATTTTTATATTCTTTTCGCTCTATATTTATATGTTTCTGTACATAATCTTCTGTCTGTATAAATATAATGTTTTCAGGACCACAATGTGAACTAGTTGTAAACTAGTTGTGCCATCCTGTATAAATAAAGGATATTATTATTATTATTATTATTATTTAGAACAATTTTTGATTTAACATATTATACTTTATAAAATTTCCATTCTGTTATCTGAAACCTGAGTAAACGTCATCCTTAAGGACAACTGAATACAAATAAAAATTTGATTCATGATTTATATCGTAAGTTATCTCTGGTGCTTAGATATGAGACTTTGTGTCGCTTCTATGTAATTATATACAAAATTTTGCAACTTTTTAATCTTATAACAAAATCTTGTAAATTTTCTACCAAACTTGGTAAACATTATTTAGGTAGCAATTCAGATATAAATCTAAGAGAAATATTGCTGATTTCTATTTTTTAAAAAAGCATGTTTTATTTATCCATACACTTAAATTTACGGACAGATGCTGTGAACATTATTAAAACATTCTTAATCATTGAAAAGTTTCATTTTGTATTCCACCATATTTCTAATTGGTCTACACCATGTATTCCTAAAATCTTGCTTTAAAACTTTTCAATATTACAAACTTATATCAGTTTTATGGATTAAAAAGATGTTCATCTTGTTTTGTTAAGCTCATTACTAAAACTGTATTTTAGACGATTTTTTAAAAATTATTTTTACGTCTGGTAATTCAGATTTGTACTCATAGTTAACCTTTATAAGGATGAAATTCTACAAACTCATATTTCACTGTTTAATTCTTTAACAGTCCAGTCAGCCAAGGTGACTTCGATCTACCCTACCTGTAATGGATTCTTAAACTTAATAAATATAAATATTAACTGCTGTAAAGAAGAAACGTCAGACATCTTTTACTCCAGCATATTCCAGAAGTAGGATAAATACAGTAAGGTGTGTATTCTCTAAAACTCCAAAAACCTTAAATTTAAAATAATCAATCTTCCAGCGTCAGTCACCAAAACATACGTCTCTACATTTATTGACACTCGTTTCTCATGATGAAAAATCACAAAAATACCCCTTTCACCTGCAAATGAGATATATATCTTTGAGTTGATTAAATACACAAAAGCATACTCAAAGTACGAAAAATTTCTAAAATGAGGCGATTTATTGACAAACAAGTTAATGAAACAAGTATCGTTTAAAGTCGACATTTTGCAAGTTCTATGATCGATTTAATTACCTTCTGTGAATGTATTACCTTTGAGCTATACACCTGGGTCAAAATTACATGTAAGTAAGGGTTTTTTCCTTTTAATGTTGATTGACAACATCATACTGAAGTTCGAAAATAAATAAATAAATATACATATTTCTCATATACAGTGTATGTGTTTATAAAACTGCCTACATATACATGTAGGTGTTTGCGCAAGATGCACTTATTCTGAAAGGTAGTCTAAAATCTTGTGAAAAAAATAAAACTTAAGTTTTAAATCAACAAGATTTTTATGATTCTTTCTATGCACATGTGTTTGGAACATAACTTAGATCCCCCATCTAAAATTTACGACAGAGCAGATTTCTCATGCATACACTTGTTTCAGGGTGTAATAAATATTTGAGAATTTTATATTACATTTTTATACCTTAGATTCCCAACAATTATAAAGAAGAAGAAAATTTACTTGCTTCAATGAAGTTTCGATACTGTATAGTGAGGAAGATATATCATTGAACATGTGTTAAATTCCATTGTCAACTTTACATGTATATATCCCAGTGAACTCAAAACGGAACTGCGGATATATATGCCACACATTTTTCATATTTGGCTACAAAATATTATAACAACCAAATTTTGAATTAACTGACATTCAGCATGTTCAGCTAATTCAAAATTGACCATCAATTGCGTTACAAAAAGGTCCATGTTATTTAATCAATTTACACAAAAAAATTCAGCTACACACATGAAAACCCAACATTTTTTATTTGAATAATCTACGTCATCGTTAATAACTATTATTATTATCATGTATTTTGATTGATGTAACATTTCTGTATGTCACACTTGTCGGATGTTTTCGTCACACACATGAATTGATTTCAGAATTGATATGGAATCAACAGTATACTTGCCTATCTATCTAAAGCATCAATGAATCAGTATATCAGTTTAACAGAAGAATAAACAATTTTTTACCGCAAATAAGCATGTGTGTACAATATTACCATATTTGCACTCAATCAATCAACAGAGCTATATAATTAGCAACACCACCATAGCTCAAATGTGCAGCTAGTTATGGCAGCAACACACCCATACCCCTCCCACTTTGTTTAATTGGTCCACAATATATGAAGAACACCCAGCTATTTACTAGTCTTAAATACTTTAAAGCACAACCATGCATTTGTTAAGGAATAATTGAGCGGCAAATCAAGATTTGATGGATGTTGTATGCACACGGCATTGTGTAATTTTTATGTAACTACACACCGTGTTTTCCTGATTTGGGTGAATTGTTTTGTATGGCATGTCAGTTCCTAATCACCATACAATGGCGGTGCAGAGTGGGATTCGATTGTTCTGCACACAGACGTGGTTTGTCGATAAAGGGTGCCGTCTCCAAGTGATACCAGAAATCACCAGTTTCTTTTGGTCTCAAAGATATCTTTTTCAAAGCGCTTTGGCCTCGTAGTAAGCCTTTAATGGCTTAAATTGAGACGTGAATAATTTTGGTGTGCATCTTTGTCCCAATTTAGTAATATTCTTCTGCATCAATAAACCACATTATAAATTTTCATGACATGTGTTATCTATAAATTAACCAAATATATTTTTTTTCTTCATGTGGAAATTTAACTCGACATATATTACATAAAATAAAAAAATATTTTTATATGTTCTGATACAGTATATTCCAAGAAATACCGAAATGATATCCGATTCGAGCATACAAAATATGTTTATCATTTATTTTCGAATAAGAAATACTCAGTATTCAAAAATATTCACTGTACAAAGCAGTTTCAATTATCGTATCTATTTTTCAAAGCTACAACCGACAAAGGTTGATTTATATGAAAGTGCACATTTTTTATTAAATGTCTTTTTTTCTTTTATAGTTAAGCTTGCTTAGCCTGTAGATTTTTCTTTCGGTTGATTTCCATGGCAACTCAGTGATTTCTTAGAATTAGTTTACAAAGACACATGGTTGGATTAGGATCAGAAAGGATAGGATTCTCGTTTTTTCTTGCTTTGAGAATTCCTGAAAGTGGTAAGATAAACATTTACATGTATATTAGTCAATGCAAAAAAAAAAAAAAACCCTGAAAAAATATTCAGATTTATTTTTTGCCTATAATACATTCCTTTTCGTACGTATATTACCTCGTGCAAAAATTTTTGAATGTAATAGTTTTTTAATGCATTATGCTAAGTCATTGATTTTTTTCCCTACAATTTGATTCTTGTTAATGGATTCGGAAACTTAAATATTTCCTAATAAAATTACTAATACTGTTTTCATACAAATATATTTTCAGTTATATAGGAGCATACTATCATGAAAAAGAATGTTCTTGGAAAGAGGACCTATACGGATCATCTTAACATCTGGCTGGTGAGGAATACTTATAAATTATGTTATCACTCAAACCCATCCTTATTTACACCAATTTACAACAAAATGGAAAAAATGGAGTCCAATTAGCGTCGTGTTTTAATACAAATTGACAGGTAGATTCCAGATAAACAGATCTCATTGAAATACAATCATTTTAACTTGACCCTTAATGAATTACTCAATTGAATCAAGGTTACATTGCATGAATACTTCATTGATTTGAAATGTTCCTCAGCTGCGTTGTGAGTAAGAGCTGAATATGACTGAATTGCTTCACCCATTATAACTTTGCTTTTGTATGACGATAGCTAAACAAATTGTTCCTTTGTAATGATGAAATGGCAAAAAATGAAATAAATATTATAATTTATGATAGTATTATATTATATATATATATATATATATATATATATATATATATATATATATATATATATATATATATATATATATATATATATAATATAAATAATAAGGGGAAAAAACTTTCTCAAGGAACAGCTTTTAATTTCATTGAAATTTTACATCCCATTTTTCTCCATCCGGGGATGTCAGGAACAGAGCAACTGTAAGACAACATATTTACATCGGTGAAAATGAAATATACGGTGTAAGTCATTTTAACGTTTTGTATATCATACATATAAGTATAATTTAAAAACATAATGTTACTAATAATATATGTACACTGTATGTATGAGAAAGTGTTAAGAATCTAAACGTATGTGCTTCGATTCTAAACACTGTCTCATATACGTGTTTAGAAATGTTACATGTTTAGGAATTAAACATATAAAAAAAAAAGAAGTTGACAAAAGAGTGTTTAGAAAAGTGTTTGGATTCTAAACACATTTCTTACAGTGTAGATATGAAGTATCTTTTTTCTTCCAAAAAGTCGCTTCATTTTTCCCTGATATATATATATATATATATATATATATATATATATATATAAAGCACATTTTACAACAACTCTTAAACTAACATAACTGCCCTAAGTGAAGAAATATTAATATAGAAAGCACAAAGAAATTTACTTTTACATGGATACCCACTTCCGCCCCAAAACTATACCTTCGGAATCTGTCTCCTAGCAGTGCAGGAACAGCGCGCTAGACCGCTCGGCTATCTAGGCAAGTCAAAAAACTTGCTTTCGATGCCGATGGAACTCGCGGCGATGCCCTACACTACACGGTCATTGAGAATAGATGTGAGATACAGTTATTTTTACATAAGTATAAGTATTAACATTAGTTTTGACATTAGTTGTTAAAACTAATGTCCAAATAACTGTATCTCACTTCTATTCTCAATGACCGTGTAGTGTAGGGCAGCGCCGCAATTCCATCGGCATCGAAAGCAAGTTTTTTGACTTGCCTAGATAGCCGAGCGGTCTAGCGCGCTGTTCCTGCACTGCTAGGAGACAGATTCCGAAGGTCGAGAGTTCAACCCCGGGCTCACAGTGGGTATCCATGTAAAAGTGAATTTCTTTGTGCTTTCTATATTAATATTTCTTCACTTAAGTTATGTTAGTTTAAGAGTTGTTGTAAAATGTGCTTTATAAATAATAATTAATTTCATTACAACATGTATTGGTAACAATCCTCTGTTAAAACTAATGTCCAAATAACTGTATCTCACTTCTATTCTCAATGACCGTGTAGTGTAGGGCAGCGCCGCGAGAATTCCATCGGCATCGAAAGCAAGTTTTTTGACTTGCCTAGATAGCCGAGCGGTCTAGCGCGCTGTTCCTGCACTGCTAGGAGACAGATTCCGAAGGTCGAGAGTTCAACCCCGGGCTGGGGCGGAAGTGGGTATCCATGTAAAAGTGAATTTCTTTGTGCTTTCTATATTAATATTTCTTCACTTAGGGCAGTTATGTTAGTTTAAGAGTTGTTGTAAAATGTGCTTTATAAATAATAATTAATTTCATTACAACATGTATTGGTAACAATCCTCTGTTAAAACTAATGTCCAAATAACTGTATCTCACTTCTATTCTCAATGACCGTGTAGTGTGAATTCCATCGGCATCGAAAGCAAGTTTTTTGACTTGCCTAGATAGCCGAGCGGTCTAGCGCGCTGTTCCTGCACTGCTAGGAGACAGATTCCGAAGGTCGAGAGTTCAACCCCGGGCTGGGGCGGAAGTGGGTATCCATGTAAAAGTGAATTTCTTTGTGCTTTATATATATATATATATATATATATATATATATAATTATACACTGTATTTGCCTTGTAGAATAACAGGAGAACATTTGTTGTGTCAGATTAGCCTACTCAATCATGAGAAACCATGGAGGTTATAGCACTGGTTTCCTTCAACTTTTGCCAGTATGAGTAACTATCCCTTTCTATGAGCCTACTCTGCTTTTTTCTTTTAAATAAATGTCATTAATGGGTATTTGTTACTATGCAAAACAAATACGCACAAAAGTTACATATGTCCATATTTGAATATATTCCTTACTGGAAAATTTATACACTGTACATACATTCATGAATGAAAAAATTCAAAAACAACTAAAAACAAAATTGGAGGAAAAGATGGGATAACCCTTATGGATATCATAAAAAATTCAAACTATTGCTGATCTATGCTAAGAGGGAAGCTTATTTAATTTTTAAAGCCATTATTATTTGATAAGAAAAATGCGAAGAGCAAAGGTGAATCCTTCTCAATAAATACAAGATCCGGGAGGTATTTTTTGTGATTACCAATACACGTTGTAAATTACTGTAACTCTTACATAAAATATTTTACAAACAACTTTAATTCAAACCAAAGGTCTCTCTTTATCACTGCGTATTGGAAGTTTTCTTTCATAGATAAAGTGTTTGTCCTTTCTGAAAAAAAATAAAAAATAAGGTATCAACATATTCCAAAGAAAAAGTTTTCACCGAAAAAAGGGTAGGCATATGATTGATTTCTATGATAATGTTTAATTATATGAAATATGATTAAATATAATATTGATTTCTATGGTTATGTTTTTATAAATAAAAAAAAACTTTAATTTGTAAAATATTGAATGTTTATTTTACATAGCTAATGTTTCCTTTTTTTAGGATTCAGTGTAATTATTATCCAATTCTAGGACAGATAACATGTTAAGAAATCATAGAGATTTTCACCAATTTCTCATCAATCAATGTAGTATTATGAACTAAGAATTTTAGAATTTATATTTTTATGTCAACTTTGCTCTTTGATTAAACTTATACATTTAACTTTAGATATCATTTTTCATCCATTGCAAATGTGTTTCCCACACAATGTTTATAAAAGTTTAATTCATATTTAGTAAAAAAAAATAACTAAAGTTTCTCTTAAACTATTTATAATCATCATAAAGAAGTACGTTTTGTATGAAAAGCCGTAGGATACCCCCACATTATTATTTTTTTTCCTACATAATTATACCAAAAATAATTGTCTCATCCAAAACTAAAAAATCTTGCATTTTTACAACATTAGTATTATTTTCCTACAACAATTATCTGTTAAATGTGTACACAGTATTATTATTTTGTCCTACAATTATAATTATTCACACTTCACAATTATAATCTGGCCAGTCAATGTGGACACATTATTATAATTTTTCGGCTCCAGATTATAATCTTGTCAGTCTATGATGTCTACACATTATTTTTATTTCGCCTCAAAATTATATTAATTATTTATACTTTACAATTATAATCTTGTCTGTCCATGTGCACACATTTTTTTTAACAATGATAATCTTTGTGTACACATTATTTTTATTTTTAACAATTATAATCTTTTCACTTCATCCATGTGTACAGATTATTTTTATTTCACTTAAAAATTTTAACGGTTATATTTCAACTGAAATAATTTAACAGAATTATTATTTTATTCCCGCACAATAATCTAATTCATCAAAGCCATCATACAATAATTATAATCTGTGGAACTCCAACAAAAATAATAATCTCGACCAGAAAAAGATGCAACATTATTATTTAGACGCTTGACAAAGTCACACGTTTACATAAAATATGGAGATAAAGACAGTATAATTACATGTAAGCTCAAAAGTCCATATTGGAAGCATAGCAAACACAAACCTCAGGTGTCATTGACGAGAAAACATCCTTGTCAACCGGTCACTTCTTCTCATGACTAAGAAAACAGAAAAATGCGTAGATAATGTTTTGAATAGTAGCCTAACATATTTTATGAAAAACGTCAGTCGTCATTTTGATTTTCAAGAATCTGATGTAGTTTTACTAGTTTAAAATGTACAAGGTGTCCTATTGTAAGAAATACATGTATCATTTGAAATTCTAAAAATCGGAAAGGCAATCATCTTATGTTATTTCTTAGATTAATGCATACATTTGCCTATATTTCATGATTTAGTTGTGCTAAAGAAGAACTTAAGTTTTTTGGAAGTAAACTTCACCATAATTATAATTATTGTATGTATTACAGAAAAAGGTTTTCATAATGTGTTTGAACTTGTAACCAATCCTTTGATATTAATTACACAATAGAACATGTCAAAACAAGTAAAATGTTATGGGTCATCATTTCTGGAGACTGCGAAGCAAAGCATTGGAAAATGTTGTGTGTCATTATTTTATTCAGTGTCTTATTTTTCATCTATTTAACTCTTCAAATGAATACAAATCATTCTGTGTACAATTTTAACAAAATTTTATGTAGATCGTTTTTATTCTCCCTCGGCTCATTAAAGAAACAGACCAACTAGTAGAAAAGAAATTCTTTGTGGGAATAAAAATGATAATCATATATTTTTTTAAAACTTAGAAATAGGTAGAAATAGAATTTTTGTTTTGGTTTTCTGTGTTTTATCTATCTTTTTATTGCTACATCGCCAAAATATCAACAACGACTTAGTATTTTAGATTAAACTATTTCAATATCAAGTACCATGAAACAAGTATTTCCTATTGTTCCTATTTCAACTTGAACAGTATTTTTTATCAGCTAACTACTTCATGTCGTTGAACTGACATTTCATGGGCGAGGGTTCTTTTCAATAGAGCCTGATAACGAGAAATAACAAGGCTGGGGTATTGTACCACTTGTGAGCGATTTTTGTTCTTTAGAAATTTCAACAAAACTGACGAGAGAACATAATTTTACCATTTACCAAGTTCTTAAATAAAATTCTGAACTAGATCTTTTGAGCATGTGCAATTGTCGATGAAAATTATCGTTTTCTACAAATCACCATTATTCTTTGTGTATGGCATTAAAAACACAAGAATAAGTCATACTGTGGGTCTTAAAGACGTGCCTGGTACTAATAGTACGTTTGTTTCTAGACAAGTTCCAGAAAATGATAAGCATGATTAATGACCATGTCAATATCTTTTGAACTATTTTGTTTGAAGAACATTAATCAAAAACATTCTACATGACAGAAAGAAGTCAGTGTTTAGACAGAAAAAATGGTTTTATTAGGATTAGAAATCATGAAGTTTCAATTACATAATTTTTAAATTTCTGTTTAGCGTTTATTTATAATTATCATTCTTATTGAAAGTAACCAAACAGGAAAATCATGAAAATCAACTTTTTAAAAATCCCTTCATAACCTACCCTCAAATCTAAAAAGGTCCAATACAGGAAAAATAGATAGGGTATATCATGAATTACATATTTTATAAGTTCTACAATTGACAAATTCTGCAAACAGCATCTTAGAGGAAATCTTAGTATGCATTGTCTTAAATATGTTTTCAAAGTATTTGAATACAACATATTATTAAATATCATATAAATATATCAATAAAATTAACAATTTCGCTACATGTGTAAGATATGGTTTAAATTTTTTTTCTAAATAGTTAAGAATAATTATACAATATCTACTGCATAATTTTTTTTTTTTTTTTGGTAAACAAGTTTAAAGAAAATTTGGGTAAAAAAGGTATTTATAAGAACACATTTCTATAAAATACCTTGTAAACTGGATGACAACGAGAACTTCCCTTGTTATTTTGGAAGATTGTTGTGATATATCATTATATAGATAATTTTTTTATTTGCAAATTCTTTTTATGGTCATTTTTGTCCAAGATAAGTATACACTGAATGCTTATTTCATGTGTTCATCATATTGTTATTAATTAATTAAAGCGTAAGATTTACTTAGTTAAGATTCTTTATTGAACTTTCTTTTACTATGCTGAATAATTTGTATTATGTAGAGAGTTGTCTCTCTTTTGGTATGTCGTATTTCTAAGAATTTTTTTGACAATGTACGTTCATTTGAACTTTCTCTCCTCTTTATTAATTTATATGTATACTTTTTAATCTTTGATAGCTTATGATAAGCTTTTCAGTTGGCAGAATTTTTTAATACCGGTATGAATAAGTATTTTTCACAAATTCCAATCTGTTAATTGGCTAAATTATCCTCATTTTTTCAATTGTTCATTTTTTATGGGGGATGCTTAACAAAAGAACAGCAAAATGGATAATTAATATTAATAAGAAAGCTTCTCCATTTTTATTTTGTAGAATGACAGCGTTGATTGATTTAAATGGTGTGTCTTTGTGGAAGACGCTTTGGAAATTTTAGTACCATTTTCATCAAAATTTCGATCTAGAGTTACTCAGTTAAAACACATATATCACTCTTATATTTCTTTAGAGCCTAAAAGATCTTTTCCTCGTCTCATGCATGAGAAGTGTTTATTTCTAAATAAACAGGCCCCTTTTGTGGAAAATAACCCTAAAAATAAATTTACAGCGCTAATAAGTTGACATAATTTTCACCTGCATTCGTGTCTTGATTTACACCCTGCCTTTTCACCTATATTACGCTGATAAAATTGTTTCTTATTTTATTACCTCGTACAAAATTGTTTTTCAACAATGGAATCTTATAATATCGTATTTATGATACCCCTATGGCCTCACACACCGACTGGCCAGATGCAGGGCCCCTTTTCTGACTAATAACATATTTATGAAAATCTACGACCTATGAAGCTAACCCTTGATGATAATCAGGCCAAACTGACACTCTGGGGATTTTATCTACCCTAACGCCTCATAACCTATACAAATATGGTAACCAAATCTTTAAATGACTTACATCAGCATGAACATTGTGTAACGTTAAGAAAAAAGAACCATAAGGGTGTTTCAGTTTTATTCTAAAAATAAAAAAAAAAACCTTTCAAAATGGAGTCACCATCTTCTGATAATGTTTCAGTTAAATATAATTGTTGTTATATTGGTATTGCTAAATGCATCAATCTCATGCCAAGAAAGCTATTATATACTCAGAAACCATAAGCATATGGCGTGTGACTTGATGTATTTGTCTGCGACACATTTCTCTTGAGATGTTGAGATCTACTTGCAAGGCAAGCTTTATTGCTTGACATTTATCCAAAATATAACAGAAATTGTATATTTTAACCAACACAAAACTTAATCTTAATTTTAGTTTAACAAGAAAACGAAATGTTGACGTAGATATAAATTGAAATATCTGCATTATTCAGAAATTTTACGTCACCAACATATGGACATACATTTTTTGAAATAAAACATAATAAACCATATGTAAGTATATAAGGTTCAAGTTTCTCTAATGCATTTCTATGAATTGTGTAACAAGTGCAATTCCTATTGCCCTTCTTCATGTTTTGCAAGAGGGGCGAACGTAATCTTTATGTAAAATGATAAAATCTACTTAGCTGTGTCGAAATTCCTTACATTATTGACAAGGATTCTTTCTTGATTATGAAAGAATTTACAGGCTCTCGCATTGGTAGGTAATCCCAGGTGTGTTCTACACTAAAACAACCCGCCGTGTGAGTACTCGCGCCTGCTTTCTTTTTCCTTTCTTTTTTAACTTTCACAAAACATGTTTTATTAAGTATATCAGCGTTCTTTGTCATTTACGCCCTGAAATAATTTTATTTATGTAGAATGGTGTAATTTGAACTCTATCCAACATCTTCAGTTATTGACTCACACAGTCTTGTAGAAAATTCAGAAAATAAAATAAGCTGTATATGCTATGTGTTACCGATCGGTATTTTTTATTTGGTCGTATCAATAGCAAAATATTAGATAATTTTAATATCTTATTAGAATTTCCATTGGGAATCATTAAAAGTACAAAAAGTCCAACATGCATACTCTTTTTCTTTTCAAAAAGCTGGTCTTCTTCAGAAAAAAAAAATTTGAAATGTGCACATTGTAATTCTTGTAAAGACACAAAATGATCAGACAAAAGTAAATTAAATGATAAGGTGATATAATTTATTTTACAAGAAGAGTGGTTATGTCCCTGTGTTGAAATTGCGAATTAAACAAAACAGAAAATATTAAAAAAAAAAAAAAAAAAAAAAGGCATACTGTTAAACCCCAATGTCTGAAAGTTAAAGAAAAAAATGTTTAGTTCAATCATTACATTTGTTCAATGGTTAAAATTTAACATAATACATAAATCACAGCAGATGTGTTGACTATATTTGTTCGTATGCATGTTCACTGTTAAGAACTTGTTAAGTATTACCTCCCTAAAATCTTCATTTCTCCTCCCGTGGAGAGAGTAGGGCAACTGATATTACTTTGCAAACAAATCTTATCTACATGTCTGCCGATGATTAAGTAAATGGTAAGTTTTCTTAAGTTTCTTTAAATGGAAAGGTAGCGAAAAACTTTATTTTCGGGATACAAATCATTCCACCAGCTGTTTCGGGTCTTTTTTCATAAATGTAACCTTTTCAGGAGATCAAATGAACCTGTCGGTTTTAACTAAAAGTAATGAAGGCCACGGTTTATATATTATTTTTCACCTGTCAATTTGTTTCGCTTCGATCCATAATTTTTGTTTCATTACATTTTTTCATAAGAAATAATATGCTCCTTATTATTTTCAGGATTCAGATGATTGTTTTACATTGCTAAATATAATTTTGATTTGTTATCTTCTCCAAATTAGATGGGTAGAATGATTTTGCAAGGCTATCTTTATCTAAAAAAAATCATCTTTAGATCATAATATTGGAACAATTATTTGATACAAACCAAATGAAAAAGAGTGAAGATTATAAACAATGATCGATCTTAAATCTCCTAAAAATACAAATCTGTGAAAATGGCATAAAACCTAGAACCTGGAA